TTAAAGCATTTATAAAACAAGGGTTTTGTTAAGGGATTTTTGGAAATCCAAGCAAACTATAGCAATAGAGCTTCCTTTATCCATGTTATGTTTTTATGTTTTTATCTGTATTTTTGTAAATTCTATTTTTTTTTTTATTATGATTGTTAATAATTTGGCTAGGACAGACAGTAGGCTTACCAGAATGAGGTTCTATAGATCATCTTTTGCTACAAAAAATAGAATAAAATTATGAGCAACAAAGGCATTGTATTGCAAATTTCACTTCATATGTTTAAAAGGTGTTTGTGGCCATACTAAGTTTATTCAATGAGATAAGGAGATGCAGAGGTTAAAGGAATAACGGCTACTTGTCCTGTCCACAGCAGGAAATGCTAAAGAAACAATTTGCCAGAAAGACAATTACCAGGGTGATGTGAGGCATCATCTTCTTGTTGTGACAGATATGTATTTATCATCTTTCAATCCCCAAATACCAGTATACCTTAGACACTCTTTTAAATTAAAGTGATATCATTTAAAAAAACAAAAAATCATAACAATGTAATTTTGATTTTAAACATGTGTAATAGTTATTATTTTATTCCATAACCTCTTCTAAATGCAAATTCTTTATACAATTTTCAGTTTTAAATGAATAGTAAGTGTTTTGTAATCTAAAATAAATGATCTCTATGGTTACATTTATATTGGTAAATTAAACATGATGAGGACACAAATCCAAACACTGAGACTTGATTAGTTAAATTCCGTGTGTTAAATTGTTAGCACAGAGCCTGGTACGGCTTAAACACTTGCTATTTGTCACTTTACCAAATCCGTGGTATGGATTAGGTTAGCCTAGGCCAATGGCCATAGTGAATAAGTATTTGGGGGACTGGCAATCAATTTCAGGAGATGTCAGTGAATTTAACTACATCAGCAGCATTAGTATGCTGCACCAGGTAACCTCAGAGAGACTGGGTAGGAAATGATGCAGGCTGCAGTGCTCAGCCATTGGTCACACTGACTCTGACTCATTAAATAATCACCAGAATAGTACACGTTTACTGCTGCTTCAGTAGGAGTACCTGCAAACCTACCTATCAACAGAATCTGAATAAAAAAAATCTTCAAATGCTTTCTTACTATTGTGAATATAATCAAGCAATTCCTTCTCGCTGCCCAGAGGGATAATAACTAGTTCTTTTCCAACCAACATCCACTCTGTCAAAAGAAAGGAGTATCCTCTGATACATCCTCTCCTGGTGCTTCTCCCCACCAGCTGACAGACAGGAGAATCCAGTGATGACCTGAACTACAAGAGTCCAGACACAGACAAGAATTGCTAAGGTTTTCTCCACATATACCACTTTTTAACTGGCACAATTTTTTTTGTTTAGAGTATTTGTTACTGCTGCTAGTAAGTAAGTAAGGTAATTCAAGACTCTAGTTGTAGATTGCCAGCTCACCCTTGCAAGAGGACATTTATTCATGGCTACCAGATTAGGCTTATATTATGATACCCAATATATATTCTATTTTGTATTCATCTGATCAAACGTACCAGAAAATGCTCAGGAATTCTTTTTGATCAGATATATTCCTGCGCACTGTAGACAAAATACAGTGGTGTTTAACAGTAGTATACCCTAAAGCAGTATGACATAGCTTAAAAAACGGGCTCCAGTGCATTGCTATAGACATGACTCTCCTTGACAATGATCTGAAACAGTACCAAAACTAAATGTAAATTAACATACTAGGAGTTTGTCAAAGTAATTTTATAGTTTGGCAGGCATCTCTTTTCCATTTCCTAATGCGTCCTTCATCACACTAGAGAAATAAGTTCTACGTTGCAGAAATAGGGTACTTGGAAAAATATTTCTAAGACAGAAGAAAAACAATCTTAAACAGCACAGTTACTGTAATTCTTGATCCAATTCCATTAGAAGAATATTAATCTTGATTTCTGTTAGTTACTGAAACATTACCAATGGAAAGAGATATGAATCAAAGATTTTAGCTTTAAATTTTGAAAGGATTAAAAATATATATGCAGTTTTATTTTCATAAATGCATCTTTCAATAAAGAAGAAGAGATTGATGCAGATGAAATATAATTTGGCATGCTGAAAACATATTTTAGTGTGAACACTGAAATGACATTTTATCAAGAGAACTGACTATTCCATTTGTGTTGCACAGGGTGATAATATGATTAGCCACCAGGGAAACAAAACAAATTTCCCTCTCAGACAATCAGTACCAAAACTATATTAATCTCCATATTACCATTCTCTATATTCATAGTCTTTCCACAGTAATAGACTATTTCTAAAAATAAACTTATTTTTCAAGGAATATAAATTATTTTCAATTCGTCACAGTCTATTGTATTACCTACTATAAAAGAGGGATTTTCATCAGTCCTGATTTCCAGTTATTCATGTATCCATCCGTACCACTAGCCTGAACTAAGATGTGATTGTGGGTCAGTAGCAGCTGGAAGAGTTCTGAAGAAAAGCAAATTCATGGAATTTGAAGGGTGAAACATGAAAGCCAGTTTGTTGTGACACTGTTGTAAGCAGGCCAGCCAGTTGTTTTGCTTACAGAGAAGCAAGCACTTTTCAACATCTCTCAAGGGTCAAGAAATTATGATAAGCTCTTTACATAACCATCTCCAAAGTGTCAGTTGTGAAGGTGGTAGGTAGTAGAAAAAATGAACTGCCCTCCTATCCTACTATTCTCAGATCTTGTAGCCTTTTCTCTCATGTATTTACCCCAGTGGGTTTTAAGTCTTTTAAACTGTGGCATCAAATTACACATAATCTCCATTTAATATAATGCAGATTATCTAAATTTATGCCTGTAGAGAGCATTTCCTCACATGCTGTAAGAGTGAATGATCAGATATTCTAAAATAGTATAGAATAAGAACAGGAAGGGAACACCAAGAACAGCAAGACATGCCACAAGGGGGATAAAACAAAAGAAAATAATTCATATTAGAGGTACAATAAAGAAGAAATAAAACAAAACGAACACCACACACTAAAAACCAAACCACCAAACTTTCCAAAACAAAGGAACAGAAAACAAATGAAAGTGTGTCCTCTTACTTCTGCCTTTTAATGGTGTGCTGTTGTGGTAGCATCCATTTAGTAGCTTGTAGTGGATTATCCATGCAGCTGCTTGCTCACACCCCACACTCACCAAATCTGGGAATAAATCCCTTTCTCTACCACTCGATCCATTTATCTAATCCCACTCTGATTCTGATAGCAGGTTGTTGTAGCAGAAATGTCTTCTTGCAGATCTATCTCCAGGTACATCGATACCTTTTTTCCTTCTGGTTCTTCCTTCAACCATTATTCCTTTTTGTTCCAAAAAGTTTTGTTTAATGATCCCACTGAATTCCCATGTACAGTGCAAAGAGTAACATTATGCATTTCTCTATTACTCCTCACCACTGTAGCACAGTTGTGTTATATTGGCACTCCTGGAGTGCTTCTTGGTACTGAAAAACAATCTTTAAAGGAAGTGGGTTGACAAGCAATGTCAGTAAACAGGCAATGGCTTCAAAAAATACACAGAATAACTAAAAGAATAAGAGAAAAATATGTAAACTTTTAATCCCCGCATTTCTTTAAGTCAGTGATAATCACATATGTCCACTACCCTTTCAAATGAAAACCAATATAATTTTCTAATTATAAGATTTGGTTAGAATCCCTAGAAAAATTCTTGAAGATACTATACATTAGATCATCCATCACCATTCAGCACTGTGGCAGAGGCAGTGGCTTATCAAGGCCATATGAGATAGAACTGTTAAAAGATGTACAGGAGAAGGATGGGTGAAAGATATTGCTGGTTCACAGTATTATAGGGAGTGGACAATACAGGGAATACAGATACTTGGATACATCCCCACAAAAGATGGTGATTTGATATAGTGGTTCTCTCTTTCTTCTGTGCACATTAATACATTCATCAATCAGATTCTCAATCTGATATAATAAGAGATTCATTTTATACACAGAATATGTTAAAGTAAAAATATTCTGGAAACTCATCTAGCAAACTCTGCCTTACCTCTGTTGTAAACTGTGACAGGTAATACACAGCAACTGGTGTTTTCTCTTTTGAGGTTTGACTGCAAGCATCTAAACAATTAAAATGCTACAGAAGGAATTATATATACTTAAAATAATTAGAAGCAGAAAATAGTAACCCACTGTTTGTTTTTTTTTTTCCCTAAAACACTGAGATTTGTCACCCTTTAAAAGATGGATAGGGGAATTTGAGAAGTAACCATGTTATAATGAGAAGCCCTTGCCATCTTAATTCTATTAAAAAATTAACAAATTTTCTTTTTAACTATATAACAGTTTCTGATTTCACAACCTAAAAAGTATCAGATAATCATCTGATTCTTGTAGGCCGCAGTCTTTAATTATACAATATCTCCCGAGAACTAAATGAAATGCTTTGGAACACTTCTTGAACAATACCATGGAAATGAATAGATTCTCAAGAGTCAGCACATTGTGCTGAATAATTCCATTATAATCTTAAAATTTCTCAAAACTAAACAAAAGTTAAATACTGTTAAATTTTTTAAAAAGTCAATAAAAAATAAGAAAATTTATTTAATAAAAAACAAGAAAATAAAGTAGGTATGTATTCTTCACATCATGCTTTCACTTTGTCTCATTTTGTTTCTGAATATTTTATTTAAGGAATGTAAAATTATAACATACAATGACAGAGACTTGATTTTGCAATAGAACATTTAGAACAATGATTTTGCAATAGAACATGCCACAATTAAATATATCTTAATGTGACAAAAACTCAAGCTCCTAATGACCACATACATGACAGAATCATATGAGAGAAAGTATTGCATCTTCATAGAAAAAGAAAAAAAAGAAATTAACTCATCTGGATCAAGCAAAATGGTATGGCACAGAATATTCTGCATGTTACCAAGAAGTCAGACTAGAAGGACTTACCACTTCTTCATGGGTAGCACTTTCTACATTAATACCATTAACCTAAAAACAAAGATACAATAGGAACAAAATGATTTGAAATGTGTAAGCTAGTTAATGAAACAAACATAAAGGTAAGTCTGAAATAAATATGGTAAAAACAAATGTTTACTGACCTGTATTATTGCATCTCCTATAAATAACATTCCAGTTTGGTCAGCTGTGGGATTACAAAGTACAATTTAACAGAAAGAAGTACTGAAAAGATGCATTTTATTCTCTTTCAGCACTTGGTTTAGCATGCTGTTTGTAGGCATCATTAGAAACTGATTTGATTGTAAAAATAATGATATAGCTATCAGTATTCATCCTATAAAGGTAATAGATTCCTAGCAACCTTAAACCAACTAACAGAGCTACTTCCCATGCAAAAAGAACTTGTTTAATATGGAATACAAATGTCATTTCTCACTAATGAAGGATTTTATTAAATTATGTGGAAACTGTGATTCACACTTTTCATTATTATTCTACAAAGGGAAATAGAAATCTCTGAAACTTGTTAGCAATTCCTTTCCCCTGAACAAATTTACAGGGACAGGTATAATTAAAGAGGTTGTGTCTAGAATTTAATACAAATCTTTAACAAGAAGTTTGAGTTAGCTTTGTTCTTGAGAGTAAGATAATACTTATTTCAGTTGGTTCCTGTCTTACAAAATTAATGGGAATAATATAATGAAACTGCAAAGAAAACAATTCTACATGGACACAAACAATGGCATTTTTGAGGTGTATTCACCGGTGTTTTTTTTTTTTTTTTTTTTTTTTTTTAATTTTAGTAGAATTTGGGGATGTTTACCTCTTGAAATTTACTACTTAATTGAAAGTAAATCTCTCATCCTACAAAGACTGACAATGTTAAATGAAGCATATGGATAGTCTTGCATATGATTTTGTTGAGTCCTGGCTTGAGACTTTGAAGAACATTAACCAAGGTAGTATTTTGAATGATGAAAACAGAGGTAAGAAAAAAGAAAAGGAACAACAGCAAAACAACACAGAATATTCATACCGTTTCTACAATATAGCTTTTGTCACCAAAATGTTATACCTTTGGTACAAAACAGCTTCTTTCCATTAGATTTATATTTCCTATAGAATTTTCATCACTTTTAGCAGATAAAAGACACCTTTTATTAGGTACACTGAGAAAAGAGCTTAAGAAACATTTCATCACATATAAAAACCATGAAGTTCTGTGTGACAGATCAGTGAAAAACAGAAAAAGTAAAATTACCAAAACAAAGGTCTTGAGATCTAGTTCTAGAGAGCTAGTATATAGTTCAAGGATTGACATGACATGGCATGATATGACACATAAAGGTATAAAATCTCAAGAAACTAAAATGGGTTGCTGAAGGATTGTAACTCAGCAACACTGAAAATAAATCCCTTCCAGGGAGCAATGGTGGCTGAACATTCCCCATCTAATTTCTGATGGTTTATACACTCACTTGGCCATCCCACAGTGATGAGTATTGCAACAACCCTTGCTATCTACTGTAAGCATTATACAAAAAATAGTATAGCTTAAATGCACAATGTAATTATACCCTGCTTATACAGTCTCTATGCACAATTGAAGCTGTGCAAATAAAGCACAGAATAAAGAATGGGAGAAAGAGAGTTAAATGATGGATACCAAATGCTCTGTGAAGTGAAAAAAAAAAGCATAGAAAATAGGGAAAATCAGAACATTTGCTTCAGAAGTGAATTATACTGTAAAGTAATGCAATAATGTATACGCCTCCATCGCTGTCGTTATCATGGCCACTGATGGTACTCTGGCAAACTATACTTATAAGTTTGTGACAAAAATTTTTGGCTTGATCTACAATTTAAAATCCATGATGATTTATAACAAAAATATTTTTAACAAATTCAACTGTAGAGGACATGTCACAACGATGCATAAATCACAATATATTTTGCAAGTATATTAGAAGTAAAGTAACCAGAAAATCTCCTTGTAAAGACACAAAAAAAGAGTTTTATTCTCTCTCATTTTACATCTGAAGACAAATAGTTATATCATCCCAAACTCTTTTGATGTTTTCATAAAGTTATACTTCTCTGATGAAAACATTGTACAAGTGCAACGTTCCACTTTACATGGAACTTTGCTTCCCACTGGTAGCATTCTCATACAAAGGTGTCTATGAAAGGCTACTCAGCAAAGAGTAAATATAGAAAAAAGAGAAAATATTTGAGAATGAGCTTTGAAATACTAACTAGCATACAGCCTTATTCAGCAAAACAGTAAATACAAATCATCTGGAATTCAATATGCTTCCTGATGATTTATGTGAAACGATATTTTATTTGTAATGAGTTGAACATGGTCAAAAAAAGATTTTCAAATGAAAACAAGCACAAACTAGTAATTAGCAGAAGTGCACTGGGGTTTAAAAGAAAATTAAGAGCCTGCTACAACAATTAGCATTAAATCACCTTTACATCTTCATTACCTTTAAAAAAGGTTAAACACTGATTACATTTTCTACAGTTGTGAAATTCACAAGGGATACTGTGGTAGAAGGAAAACATTTATAACCCTTAAGGGGCTTCTAAAGAAGACAGAGAATTTCTTATTCTTAATATGTTAGACTTGAAAATATATTCCCAAGAAAAACTGATCCATCATTGTAGTCCTCTGACATCGTATTAGTGATGCACAAAAACTATGCTGTTTGAAGCATACAATTAAGTTGACTACATGAATCTCTAATTCATAAGCTTAAATATATGTATTTCACCACAAAAAGAGAATTAAAATGAATAGCTAAGTATATGAAGTATAAGTATATTATCCAGGTGTGTTGTTTTTTTTTTTTTTCCTTCTCTCTCATGAATTGAACTATACTGATACTGCTGGTACAATTCAATTCATATTTTCTTGAAAATAAGCTGTTTTGTAACTGCATTTGTAATCAATATTTTAAATCAGAACTGCATTATTACCTTGTTAGGGACATTTTTAAAATATAAAATATCCTTCACAGGACTCAGATTTATTTCATCCATTTAAATAAAAAAAAATCCAAATTTCTATCCTTATTTCTCTTGTTGACCATGAGGTTTCCTTATCTCAGTCTTCTCACTCCTCATAAGTGTCCAGTTTATCATGTGACAAAAAGCTGTACATCAGTAATGCAATGTTTCATAAAACATCCATGTCATTATTCTAATGTGCCAGATTCTCCATGCTAATTTCAGAGGTATATGGGAAACTAGGCTTCTCTGTCCAATCGTTTCAGTGGATAGCCTATGGAGTAGGCAACCATTGATCATTTTGTGATCCTAGATGTACCACGTTTACCTGTAGACCCAGTCAGGAACTCGCTTCTAAATCCTTAGTGTACACAAACCTGAAGAACTGAAGCTCAATACACTGTAAGAATCAAGTCAATGTGAGATATGTGTAGGATGTCAGAGATAAGGCAGGTTCTGGAGTAGGCAGAGACTGAATACAGCAAGGACAACATGTTTGGAGAGTCAATAATAGACCTTACGTGGTCGAAGAAGTAGAATTTCAGCTGTGATAAGAACACTGCCATTTCCCTGGCAATTCTGAGCTCAGTACTCCTGATTATGAATGTCTTAATGGTAAAATGAATCTCTATCTGACTCATAGAAGTTCAGTGAATAAAAATACTACTTTGAATAGATTAGCGTGTACTGAGAAGCTGAAGCCTTCTTGCAGACAATATTTTAGCTGGGACTTTGCCTAGCTGTATAGCATACAGCATTCTATCTGCAAAGTTAACAGAAAATAAAACTGGTTTGGTCTTTAAAATGAAGAACAAAAAGAACTACAAGATACACATACACTGCAGATGTAACCAGGAAAGATCTGAGAATCTGAGCAAGAACTACACTGATGTGTAAATTTCCTTACCATGTGGCATACATGTGCATGTAATTGATAATAACAATTTTCTAGGACAGTGCATATGCTAGCAACTTTAAATTCCTTCTGATTTTGTTCAATTTAAGAAGTACTAGAAAATACAGAATAACTGCATATATTCCTGGAAATGATCAATTCACAAAGTACACTGTATGCAAACTCCTTTGTCTTCTGGATATTCATGCATACTGCTGTTATTACCAAAAAGGCAATGAGAAGGACCTAAGGGTCCTCTTGGTGCACAAGTTGGCCAGTAATCAAGAATGTGTCCTTGCCAACAGTCCCCTGCAGTAGCCTGATCTACATAAAGACAAGTGCTGCCCACAGGTCAACAAAGGTGATCCATTACCTTTGCTCAAGCGTACTTGAGCAAAGGTACTGAGACACATCTGGAATGTCGTGTCTGGTTCTGAGCTCTCCAGTACAACAAAGAAGTAATCTTACTAAAGTAAGTTGAGTGAAGAGCCATATAGATGAAGGAGCTGTAGTATCTTTCCTGTGAGGAGAGGGCTGAGAGAGGTGAGACTATTCAGCCTGAGGAAGGGTCAGGAGGATCTCATAAATGTGTACAAAGACCTGACAGTAGGAAATAAAGGAGAGCTGGACTCAACCCACAGTGACCACCCACAGGACAAGAAGCATGAAATTCCGTGTCAACAAAAAAAAAAGATATTTACTGTGAGGGTTGCCAAAAACTGAAATGTAGTTGTCAAGTCTCCGTCCTTAGAAATAATTAGAACTCAACTAGACATAGCTAGTTGCATTGCTCTAGCAAATGGTACTTGAGTAGAGAAGTTGACTAGTTAATTCAAAGAGGTCTCTTCCAAGCTCAATTCTGTAATTTGCAAAGGTGCACAGAAGAGTTTATTGAACACGTTTATATGTTTTAACATGTTTATTCAAAATTCAACTATTAACCTGTTAAGAACGTAATTGCTATAAATAAAGATATTTGGAACGAAAACAGGATTTAGTTTAATAATTTGATTCTCAGATGTTGATTTTTCTCAGAATTATCCTTCGTATGCCATTTAACTAAGTTTCTGGAGCATGTTTGTGGAAAGAAACCTAGGTATTTATTTCTAATTCCTGTTGCTAGAGAAGCTACAGTGATATGGGAACGGTATCACTAGAAAAGAATAGGCAGCAAGAGTAGTAAACAATCCTAGATTGAGAGTAGACAGATTTTCTTACAAGGGAAATTAAGTAGAATCATTCCTCAAAATTATACATCACAGCAGAATCCAATC